CAAGCTAGAGTCGTGCTTCCTCGAGCTCTTGGTGCTGGGCATTCAGCTACTCCACCCGCAGGCGAGGTGAGCCCCCTGCATTGCTCTTGACCTTGTCATCGAGGTCGTTCGCTGGGGTAGCCTCTCCCTCGTGGATGCTTTCGACGTGTCCCTCGAGGGTACCTGCCACGAAACATTCATGAGAAGGGTGATGGCTCCCCTAGATGGAGTAAGAGTCATAGGGCGACCCCGATTCTCCCGTGAGGAGGTCATGGAAAGATTCCGCGACATATTCGGTCATCCCACGAACTCGTCGTTCGTGGGGGATGGAGGCGTGCATTGCGCCACAAGGTGGCCAATGGTCTCTGCGGTGTTGCGGAGACTAGACGAGAGCACTGTCGGGGCGCTCCGGATGAGGTATTACGGGGAGAGCGGCTCTCCTCCGACAAGCTGCGTCATGACGTTGGCGAACGAGAAGGTGAGGTGGCGCAAGTCCTGTCGGGACGGTCGGGGTCCCAGGAAGGCGCCGAGCTGGCGCTCTAACCTCCCATAGTCAAAGCCGAGGAGCTGGTCGCTCCTGGGGACACGGGCCTCCAGTGCGCGCAGCTGCAGCTCCTCAAGCGTCTCGGCGATCGCGTCGAGGCCGACAGGATGGAGAGGTTAGACGGCGGCGGGAGCCTACGCCAACCCTCCCTCCGTCGTAACGATGAAGTCCAGGTTCCCGAAGTGCACGTGCGCGCCCGGGATCCAGCTAACACCGTGACTGGCCATCCGAGACCTAAAGTGGACGTCGAGACGCGCAAAAGGCCCCTACCTGGCGCGTCAACTATCGGTGTTTCGAGTTACCACCGAGGAGTAAATTTATATTATTGCACGTCTGCCTCGGATGGTGTGCTTAGAGGACACGAGGTTTATACTACTTCAGGCAGAAAGTCCCTACGTCCAGTTCGTCGCTGCTGCTCATGTTACTAGCACTGAAAGTTTGTAGTAGGGGGTACAAACAGGCGAGCGAGGGAAAGGATCCCAAGTCTCTGGTGAAAGGAGTGAACGGGTGCTGAGAGCTCGATTGCTGGTCAGCCGAGTCCTCGTGTCGTGCTTCTTGTGTCGATCTCGATTGATCGGTTTTAATCGGATCGGCCCCCTTCATGGGACGCCCTGCTTTCCCTTTTATAGTTCAAGGGAAAGCACGGGTTACAACGGAGGAAAAGAGAAGAACAAGAGAGAGAAGAAGTCCTTCAGGATCACCGGGTCCTTCTTATCCTTCATGCGGGTCCCGTTGACCCTGTAGATGTCAACAGGGACAGCTCCGCGTCGCGGCCCTGTCCGTTACTGGCGCCATGCGCAGACGTCGTCTGCCGGTCATGGCGTTCCATTCCGTCACAGCGGACGTCGTGGTGAGCTGACACGCCTATCAGCATTCGTACGGGGGTAAGGCAGAATAGCACCGGTACGCTCGACGTTGTTCTTGATGTGAATCCTCAGATATGGCCCGTCATGGCCACGGGTTACATCGGGACATGCCGGTCTCTTCCTTGATGTCAGAGTTTTGACCCAGACCCATACGTGGAGTGGTTGGTAGTGGTATGGGTCCCCATCGGACGAGGCGGAGCACAAACCCAAGGGTCGGACGAGGCGGAGCCCGCGGCCTCGGGGTCGGGTGAGGCGGAGCTCAAACCCCAGGGTCGGGCGAGGCGGAGCCCGCAACCTCGGGGTCGGGCGACACGGAGCCCGCCCCCAGAGGTCGGGCGAGGCGGAGCACAAACCCAAGGTTCAGGCGAGGCGGAGCCCGTGGCCTCGGGGTCGGGCGAGGCGGAGCAAAAACCCAAGGGTCGGGCGCAGAGCCTGCGGCTTTGTGGTCGGGTGGAGCTGTAGTCGCGCTCTTGACTGCTCGGATGAATCAATGTTGATGGTCATTAGCTCCTCCTCTTCGGGTACCTTAATATTGGTCTCCGACACATACATTCACCCAATCTCTCTCTATCCCTCCCTCCCTCACTCACTCACTCATGTTCTTGCCTGTTCAATTTCAGTTGACACACTTGAAATGTTCTATTTTCAGATCACTTACCACTTCTTCCATTGGAAGAAAGGAACCCCTTTTTGCTGCTGATGACCAAGGCATCTACAGCAGATTGACATGGTGGGAGCAAATTGACAATGGTCAGCAGCTTACTCGGAACAGAAAGTTTTTGACTGTGGTTCCTGTGGTGCTGTAAGTTGCATCTCATCCTCGTGGTTCGCACTTCAACAAACTACTCTTTAGATTCTGGAAAGGAAACTTATACTAATCAGTACGGGCAGTGGTTGCTTGTGCAATCATATTCTACTTCGTTCTTAAACAACAATTTTGGTTGTATCGTTTGCGACAGGATGTACTTGCACTTGCTCATCAGACTACCTTTCTGAACTTGTGTTGTCATAAGTCTCTTGCCTATTATAGAAAGCACAAAACATGCTAGAGCATAGTTATAAACTTGTACTGATGCCATGCTTTTTGGATAGACAAAATTATGTTAATGATGCATTATAAAAGGAGTTTATAGACAAGAACAACAATAAAAAGGTTTGTAAAACTGTTCAGCTAAGTTATCTAGCCAACCCTAAATATTAGGAAATTTCTCTTCCAGCTATTATCCAACTACAGTTTTTTTTTTGTGTGTGTGTGTGAATAACTACACTTTGTTGCTGTTGTGCTTTTAGGGACTAATTTGTTGCTTGTGATCGAAAATTTAAAACGAGAAGAACTAGGGTTTTCATGAGCAGTGCAAAATTCGGCTGATAATTAATCAGTTAGTATGTGCGAGTGCCGCAAAGGCAGTTGAGTTAGTATCTGCCAGTGCCGCAAAGGCAGTTGAATCTCAAACATTTTATTACACTTCCTTTCATAAGTGCAGCATCTTAGCATTTTTTAACAAAGTTAAAACTATGAGGCTTGAAGCTAGTCATTGTTAAAATTTTGTATGCAATTAACAACAATGTCATTGTACTACCTCTGTCCCTAAAATAATGCAACTATGAGTTCCGTGCCACTTTGAGTGATTCACGTTTGACCAAGTTTCTAGTAAGCTCCAAATTAATTTATTATGAAAATATATTTCGTAATTAATCTAATGATATTTATTTTATATTATAAATATTTATATTTTTTTATCTATAATTGGTCAAATGTGATATACTAAAACACCATACTGTTCCAGAATTGCATTCTTTTAGGGACGGAGGGAGTATTTTTGAAACCAAGTTGATATTGTCATATTGAGTGGCATATATTCTAAGTCGCACTTGACCGACTACAAGCAGCCGATGTTTTTCCTCAGTACGATAGCAGTTTTTGTGCTGGTTGTGGCAAAATTGCCGAACATGCACAAGGTCCGCATATTTGGAATCAATGCAGACATCTGAGGACCACTGCAAGAAGTGCATGGGCGATGCCACGATGTTATGAAGAGCTACACAGAACAAGCAGTGTGTTTATCAAACTCGGCACAACTGCCTGTAATATATGTACAGGTTTAGAAAGAACTGTAAATGTTACTCTAGCATACAAGGTTTGCCTGCAGACTGCTCTGTGTTGTTGCCGTTGCTGCTTTCTTTTTAGTTTCACTGGAAGTGGAAACGGTAACTTAGGTAAACAACCATCAGCATGTGGATAAGTGTGTAGCAGTTGGTAAGATGACTGTAGCAGATGCTGTTTGGTATTTGGTAAGATGGAACCCAGAAATCAGTAAATTTCGTCTGTCTTAGCCCCTTTGCTTATTATCTGCTCCCTCAATTCCAAATTATTTAGGCCACCTTACCGTTCCAAATTATTTAGGTCACTTTACCTTTATGTAAGTCAAACTTCTCCAACATAACTAAGTTTATACCTGCCTTAGTGAGGGTTTCATGTCACTGTTTCTAAGATGTGTTGTAAACAATGTAGACAAGCTTCATCTCCACAAACTCATTTTATCCTATGAAACTTTTATTATAGCCTCGTTCGTTGGTCTGAAACTTGGTCGAAACTGGCTGAAAACACTGTTCCAGCTGAATTGTTGTGAGAGAAAAATACTGTTCCGGCTGAAAAAAGAAGCCGAACAAATTGAATATGGGGTAAGCCAAACAGGGCAATCTCTTCGTCAATGTCACATCAGCTTATTTAACATCTATGAAATTCTCATAAAGAAATCCTCATCGGGACAATATCGATAATATTAAATTAGCTTCATTAAATTATATGAGGACCAGGGGACTGTTGGAGATGCTCTTTTATCTCCAAGAATCTAACAACGTGTGGGACTCTGTCCGAAAGAGTACGCCTCCAATTTTAAATAAGCAATATAACAAAATATGGCCACCGTGATCATATCCCTGCCCTTGTAAAAGCCATATCTAATATAAAATCCTGTATCGAACTCAATGTGAATGCGAACCCCTGTTCCTTACAAAATTCTTGCACATCTGAATTTCAAACATGCCACAACTACTCACAAGTGAAAGTCGCTTTGTTTGACATCTTCACAAGTTCCTACAAGAGACCATTGAGAAGTACGTCTACATGCCCAACAATCACGAAATCTGTTTCTAAGAAGTCCCACATCTGTTTATCACAAGTCAACTGAGTTGTATTGTTGTAAAGTTGAAAGGTGGCAATGAGTCAAAACTTCAACATCTTTGTCTTGTCTCAGTCATTGTAGCTCTGTTTGTTTATCTCAGCCAGAGTAACTTTTTCAATGCCTCTTTGCAACAGCTCAAGGCTTGCCATTTCGTTCAAGACATCTTTAGGAGCATTATGTGATAGTTATTCTATAATCAGTGGCCAATCATGGTAACAACTGACAAATCAGACTGAATACATATTCTGAAGGTGGTTTGTACATCGCACAGGATTATAGTGCAGCATTTCAAGGTTAAAAAGGCCTCACCACGACGCAGCAGACCTGAGACCTGTTTTAACCAAATTCAGAGTACATGCAAATTCTGCACATGAATCGAAGGATGTTGATGTACCGGTCTTTATGGCTGATAAAAAACAATCACCTCTAAGCTAGTAACTTTGCTAGTTCATCTACTCTTAAGGTACCTTGAGGAACAACATCAGATAGAAACTCTTGTGCATGGTCATTTGTCTGCACTGCAGATCCTCCATTAGCGATACATTTCTTTTCAACATGACTGCTGGACAGTTTATTTTCTACAAGATGTTTTTTAACACTTGCATGATTGTCTGGCCCATTTCTCCTGGCACTGGACTTCCTTTGAGTATGCTCGAAAACCAGGCTTCGTGGAATTGATTTTGTAAAAGCAACAGACTTTTCATAGACCAGATCTGAATCAACAAGCTCATCTTCACTCAGAACAAGTGCCCTGCCACTGTCAATGGCCTGTTCCAAAAGACATAACAGTCCCTCTATATAGGATGGAACTTTAGAACCACTATTTAGAACTGTACCTTTTATACCATCGTTTCTTTTCCTCTTCGTCTCCAAATTATAATCATCCGGAGAATGTTCTGACTTCTCTGTCAGGCCTCTATTTTCAGTATTGTTTGTCGGGATACTTTGGCACTTCAGGGATGGATCCATAATATCACATACTGGCTTTAATGGTGAATATTCCAATGGAGTGTCTGCTGAGGGTTCAGTTCTAGATATACCTGTAGAATGGAACAATGCAGGAACTTCCTTTGCAGAATTCAGTACCGTATCACTGGCAATGGAATCTTTAAATTTTTCTTGACCTTCACCCAAGTTGCAGTTCTTGTGAGATGTTGCAACACTGACCAACTCAATCTGGGTAAGAACATTTCCTGAATGTGTAACCTCTTCATTAGATTCTTTGCCACTAAAACTTTCTTGCGCCTTTGTCACTTCAAAACTATTTTCTTCTAATGGAGGAAGAGATGATTTCCAATCACTTCCTCTCCACATCAGTATATGCTCAAACTCAAAAGACAGTAAGATACAGGGCACTAGATCCTGTGAAGGTAGAGTTCATCAACTTCTGAACAAAATAATCCATGGCTAAATAACATTCTTCAAGATTTATCGAACCTTTAGTTTAGCTCCAATTTTTCTGCAATCACTTTTGTTAAGACCTGAGCAATCAACACGGACAAGATCACATGCTTCAAATGCTTCTCTGACTTGCTTCACAAGGTTGGCATAAACACCATTTTTCCCTATATAAAATTGGATAAGTTAATGAGTGTACAAAGAGTAGGTAAAAGTACAATTACTGAACGATACACTGCATACAAATGTGCTATGTTGCTGTTGGATATAAATATAATATGCACAGCATGAAAGAACTTCAGACAACCAGGAGGAACCAAGAGTACAGGACAGCTATCAAATGTTCTCCGCTCTCTCTCAACATGACAGGGAGCCATTCGGGGCCACCTAGTTGGCAAATAGGCCAGTGCCAGGCACCCAGGTCCCCAAAAAACTTGCCAGATCCCCATGTGTGCACAATTCACTTATACTTCAACACTCCCCCTCACGTGCAGGCCCCCTTAGGCTTCAAATATGGAAAGAGGAGTCAGCTGCAATTATTTTTATTTAATTGCAGCACGCCAAGATTTGAACTCAAGACATCTCGCTCAATTATCATATTGAATTGTATGCACCAACCAACTCAACCCAAAAACTTAAGCTGATAGGAAAAGATGGGCAATTCACGTAAATTTCAACAGCTATCCTCGCCAATCCCTGCCACAACATGCCTCTCGGCCATCACAAAACCAATGCCAAATCTCTCCACCGCCACTGGACCCTTAAGAGTTGAATCACAAGCTCAGTGCATGCTGATCTGATTGGCCAGTGCTTCTTTTGGTTGAGTAGTGAGCTCTTTGCTGCAAACTGCAAGAATGCATCTAGCTACTTCTGTTATATAAGCATAAGGTCACATAGCTTGCAGTTACATGCAGCCTCAGCCATACATACACGTGCTAAGTTGAATGGCAAATCGTGTCAGCAGGTGCTCCTCCCAGAGCACCCCAATCAGTCAGGCTGTAGACCTGTAGTAGGTGTCATCGCTTGATTCCTCTCCATCTACAGTTCTGTCAGATGGTGTGCCTTCATCTCCATCCATCTATGAGGCATCTGCTTGATTGCGAGAACTGGAAATTGCCATCCGCGCTCCAGGGAGATGGAGTGAAGGGATACTCTCTCGCAGGATTCAGTCACCATCACCAATTGCCCCTGTCCTTCGGTATTGTTGGCATAAGTGCAACGAATTGTTGTTCAGTTTGAAGAAATTCCATCACTTGTGACCTCCTTGGTGCGAAGGATTTGTGGTCTCACCTTGAAGCCATTAATGATAGATAGTCAGGGAATGAATTTCCTAGTCAAGGTTGCCATGGCAGATGGATGGGATCTGAAGATCCTTGAAGCATCTATCTGTCCACCTCGGTTGGCAGTCAAGGATCCTGGTTGCCAGGCCACTTCCAATGGGATCTATCTCATATTGTGGTCAGTTGGAGTCATTGGTTTCCATCTAGGCATTGTGTTGGTCGAAGAGTCATGTAAGGTGGTGTTCGGTCTTTATTTTGGTCAGGTAACATGTTGTCTGATCATTGCTTTGGTTGTGTAAGGTGTTGTCAAAGCCTCAAAGGCATGCTTCGGTCATGTAAGGTCATTGTTTTGGTCGTGTAAGGTCATTGTACTTGACTATTTTGGTCTTTCTTTCTCTCAACACAAGATCTCCTGCGTGTTTAGAAAAAAAAACTTTACATATCTGTATAGTCCATTTTTTATCAGCACACATCGTGTATGATCATATAGTACTTTTAGGCTTTTAAGAAATGGTGCATCTGAACAAAAACATGTTTTAAATTTAGCAAAAATACTTGTCAATGAGTTAAGCATCAGTATAAGCCAAAATTTAGGCAGTGATTTCCCTGAAACAAGGAGCACATGAAATATGCTGTATATCCAAAATTCAGAACAGTTCAAAGGAACCGATACTCCGAAAAAAGGAAACTAGCCTTACCAAGTTTGCAAATTGGTGGTAACTGACGTCCTCTCATGCGCATTTCTGTGGCCTCATCTGGAGTTAAGCCAGCTGGGACCTTCGTGACAAGGTCTGCGGTACACAGGTGCAACGGGTTTCCAGAGCATAAGCGGAAAACACGGGGGTCCTGTAATTGTAGTTTCTACCACGAAAGAGAAATATGACACCCCTTGGCGGTGTATTACTTTTCCTCCAACTTTTTCCTGTTGAAGTATATGACAAAGTTGTCAAAAGAGAGAAAACATGCAACCACAGCAATAAGTTCAGTAGTTACTATATCTATAAGTAGCAGTGTTTTAAAGGCGACTAGGCGTCCAGGCGAGTGCAAACACGAGCCTATCAAAGTCTCAAGAATGAGAGAATATTAGGTAGGTGTATGAGTTTTGCATGCCTCTCCGGGAATTTACTTGTATCTTATTTACTTGTTTTCACACCTTGATTGGATTACATTTTATTTGTGTACTGATATCATTATTGATGCAGCTCAACTAATAATAATCTTAGATGATTAAAAAAATACAATCTAAGAAGTAGATCTGATAGGATTGCGGATCCTACCGGGCTTGCTATGGAGGTAGTAGGGATGGGAGATCGGTGGTCGGGCTCTGGGAAGACGAGGGCGACGGGTTGGCGCCGTGGTCACGGCGCGAGGAGGAGAAAGAGGGTGCGGCTAGGGCTCCCTGAGGGAAGCCGGCAACAAATATGTTGCTTCTTGCTTAATTCCAATAACCAATGTTTAGAAAGTATTTATCCTCTCCTCAAGATCCTATAATTAAGGAATAAAAACTCTCTAAGAAAATACCAAATAAATAATAAATTGGGCTATTATGCCTCCCCTGACTGCCGACGTCCTAGCCACTAATGGGCCTGCGCCTGGTATAATGGACGCCGGTCATAACAAGATCATGTTCAATTGTGTGATCAATTTTGGTGGCCAAAGATGCGAATGGCATCATGAAAAAGGATTCGGATGGCACCACATAATTTCTGTATTGGCTGTATCCATCAACTCCAAATCCTATATCTTCCAGAGAAAAGGTATGGCATGTGTTAAGCTTCTTGTAAAGAGCAATGCCAACATGCTAGTATAGTTAACTTTGGAGAGTTGGATGTACTGGTAACCTTGTTAATCATGGAAAACTACTTGTTCTACTTTCATAACTCCAAAGTAATCATGTTTATGGGGTAAGTCAGATGTTTGGCAGTAAGTGCAATATCATTTAGTTGTTGACCCTTCAGCTTTAATTGCACCATATATTTCAGCATCATCAATTTCTTGGGCTCATATGTGCTTGATTGTCATGCAAAATTCTGATCTGGATGCCTCACTACCACTTACGCAATATTTGCGTTAATCCCCTCACACACCACTTATGCAATATTTGTGTTAATCCCCTCAAACACAGCTCATAGGAAGTTACTACTACTCCTTGTGTTGTAGATTTCATTGGGAAGCAATACAGCAGGAAGAAGAAGAAGGCGCCAACCTCTAGTGGCTAATTTTAGGCCACAGTTATCTTTTCCTGTAAGTTAGGATCTGGAGAGCCAGTTTGTTAGTGAGTTTGTTAGTGCTCAGCCGGCCATTGGGAGATATAACAAAGGGCCGGCTGATTAGAGGAGTTAAGCAGAAATAGAGTCATCACGTTCAAAGCCTCCCAGGGAGGGCGAACCTGCTCTATCGCTGCTGCTATCTCTAGGTTTAGCCATTGTAATCATTCCCAGTTCATCAATAAAGATCAACCAGATTACTAGCTCTATCACCTTGAGTCCTCGCCGGTGACTCGCCAGTAATAAAAGCAAGTAAAACTAAACTTAAGGTTGATTTAGGTACTAAAACATCAAAGAACTTTGGAAATTCAGAGAAAAGGGGTGGGGGCTATTGGTCTTGACTAACCTACGCCTCTGTCCCTACTAAATCATGAAATTTTGTCGACGCATGGCCATAAATGCACTGCTCTGCTGAATCACCATAGACCTCCACTTTTTACTGTGTGCTTAAATGTGGATCGTTAGCACCTGTACAAGAGCCCTATTCACATCCCTGCTCTTCAGCATTGGCCTAGCAGCTTGTGACCAAAATGCCTAGCATGTAGCAACTAGCTAACTAGGATCACCACTGTTGACCAAGACCAAGTAAACAGCAAGATAAGCTTCCTATGTAACCATCTGATCGGATTACATTTGATTTGTGTATTGATAATCATTATTCAACTCCGCCTATGTTGTCTCAACATAGCAGGTCCCAAGCCCTCGTAAAGGAGGAGGGTTGTGATAGGCGTGGCGAGCCAACGTCAAATCTAGCCATTCTAATGAAGATGAAACCTGAAAGAAAATCGTTGGGGCGTAACCCTCTTAGCGACACGCCATATCGGAACCCAGGTATGGTGTTAAATGGGCAAGGGCCGGGTCGGCACCCCCTTGGTGACGCGCCGTGTCGTGATCTGGGCATGGTGTGAAGTGAGCAAGGATCGGGTCGTTGCTTCCTTAGTGGCGCGCCACATCGGCGCCCGGGTGTAGTAAAAAATGAGCAAGGGTCTTTACATCTGAGTCGACGAGTGCGAAGGATAAGGAAGCTAGTCGAACCAACTAGGATCTGTTTAGGTAGTTGGAATGTAGGGTCGCTTACAGATAAGTTAAGAGAATTAGTTGATACCGCGACTAGGAGGCGTGAATATATTATGCGTTCAAGAGACTAAATGGAAGGGTCAGAAGGCGAAGAAGGTGGACAATACAGGTTTCAAGCTTTGGTACACAGGGACAGTCGCGAATAGAAATGGAGTAGGAGTTTTGATTGATAAGAGCCTCAAGAATGGTGTGGTGGGAGTGAGAAGGCAAGGAGATAGGAGTATCTTAGTCAAGCTTGTCGTTGGTGATATGGTCTTGAACGTAATTAGTGCGTATGCCCCCCAAGTAGGTCTCGACGAGAGTGCTAAGAGGCAGTTCTGGGAAGACTTAGATGGCATGATTAGAGCTGTACCTAGTAGTGAGAAGCTTTTTATAGAAGGAGATCTTAATGGGCATGTAGGTATTACAAGCGCAGGTTTCGAGGCAGTTCATGGAGGTTTTGGATATGGTAGTAGGAATCAGGAGGGGGAGGAAGTTCTGGACTTCGCGGTAGCTTTTGACCTGATGATAGCCAACACTTTCTTTAGAAAGAGAGAATCTCATCTAGTGACCTTCAATAACGAACAACACTTTAGCCAGATTGACTTTGTCCTCGCAAGAAGAAATGACAAACGAGCATGCTTGGGTTGCAAGGTGATACCAGGAGAGTGTGTTGTTTCTCAACATAAGCTTTTGGTGAAAGACTTTCGTTTTCAGGTGCGTGTCCGTAGGGATAAACAAGCTAAGATTGAAAGAACAAAGTGGTGGAAACTGAAAGGGGAGACGTCAGAGGTATTCAGGGAAAGGGTTATCAAAGAGGGCTCTTGGAAAGAAGAAGATGACATAAACAATATGTGGGAGAAGATGGCAACCAACATTCGGAAGGTGCCCTCAAAGGTGTGCAGTAACCAAACAAAGTGGAGGCGAGGCTAAAGATACTTGGTGGTGGAACAAAGAAGTCCAAAGGGCTATTAAGGAGAAGAATGCTATAGACGCTTGTACCATGACATGAGTGTGGACAACATAGAGAAGTACAAGGTGGCAAAGAAGACTGCAAAGCGAGCTGTAAGTGTGGCAAAGGGTAGAGCGTTCGAGGATCTTTACCAACATTTAAGTACGAAGAAAGGAGAGAAGGACATTTATAGGATGGCTAGGGTTCGTGAGAGAAAGACAAGGGACTTCAACCAAGTTAAGTGCATTAAGGATGAAAGGGAGTATCTCTTGGTGAAGGAGGATGAGATTCGACATCGATGACAAGAGTATTTTGATAAATTATTCAATTGTGAGAATATGGACACAACCTTTCAGTTGGATAACTCTTTTGATGACACCAATAACCGCTTTGTGCGGAGAATCCAAGAATCTGAGGTTAGAGAGGTGTTGAAAAGGATGAAAGGAGAGAGGCGATGGGACCGAATGATATCCCAATCGAGGTGTGGAGATGCCTCGGGAACATAGCTATAGTATGGCTAACCAAGCAGTTCAACCATATTTTTTGATCGAACAAGATGTCTGATGAGTGTAGGAGAAATATATTGGTACCAATCTATAAGAATAAAGAGGATATTCAAAGTTGTACTAATTACCGGGGAATTAAGTTGATGAGCCATACTATGAAGCTATGGGAGAGAGTTATCGAGCATCGCTTGAGAGCAATAACGCGGGTCTCTATGAACCAATTTGGTTTCATGTCCGGAAGGTCAACCATGGAAGCCATTTTCTTAATAAGACAAGTTATGGAGCGGTATAGGGAGAAGAAGAAGGACCTACACATGGTTTTTATTGACTTGGAGAAGACTTATGATAAAATACCAAGAAATGTTATGTGGTGGGCTTTGGACAAACATAAAGTCCCAACGAAGTACGTCGAGCTCATTAAGGATATGTACAACAATGTTGTGACTAGAGTTCGAACAAGTGATGGAGACACGGATAACTTCCCGATTAGGATAGGACTACGTCAAGGGTCAACTTTGAGCCCTTATTTGTTTACCTTAGTGATGGATGAGGTCACAAGGGACATACAAGGGGAGATCCCTTGGTGTATGCTTTTCGCGGACGATGTAGTGCTAGTTGATGAAAGCCGAACAGGAGTGAATCAGAAACTAGAGTTATGGCGGAAGACTTTGGAGTCCAAAGGTTTTAGACTCAGTAGAACTAAAACTAAGTATATGAGATGTGACTTCGGCACTACTACTCGGAAAAAGGAAGATATTAGTTTGGAAGGTCAAGTAGTGCCTAGGAAGGATATCTTTCGATATTTAGGATCAATGCTACAGAGAGACGGGGATATTGATGAAGATGTTAGCCATAAAATCAAAGCAGGGTGGATGAAGTGGCGGCAAGCATCTGGTGTCCTATGTGACAAAAGGGTACCATAGAAGCTAAAATGCAAGTTTTATAGGACGGCGATTAGACCTGCTATGTTGTATGGTGCAGAATGTTAGTCTACGAAAAGACGACATGTTCAACAGATAAATGTCGCGGAAATGCGTATGTTGCGTTGGATTTGCGATCATATAAGAAGAGATCGAGTTCAGAACGATGATATACGTGATAAATTAGAGGTAGCACCAATTGAAGAAAAGCTTGTCTAACACCGGTTAAGAAGGTTTGGACATATCCAACGGAGACCTCCAGAGGCACAGGTGCGTAGTGGAATCCTAAGCCAGGATAGTAACGTGAAGAGAGGCTGAGGAAGACCGAAGTTGACTTGGGTAGAGGCCTATGTTACACGGATACTTCACTAAAGCCACGTATCGCGTATCCGATACGTATCGGATACGGATACGTGTCCGATACGCCTAGGATACATATCCTCCGAGTATCCGATTTTGTATTATTTTCGTTAAAATCGGATACGCCACCGAACACGTATCCTTCGTCCCGATACGGCCCAGCCCATTAGAAGCCCACGGAGACAACCTCAGTCCCGCACACCCATGATCGCATTGATCGCATTCCCACGATCCTCCTGCGGAGACAACCTCACGGCTGCGCCCGTAGCGTTCTTGCGCCAGACCCGCTTCGCCGCCACCACCACCGGCGACGAGCCTCCACCTCCGCCTCCGCTCATGCCGCCCGGTGACGAGCCTCGCCTCGTGCTCACCTCCCTCCCGTCCGTCCCCACCCCACGCCCGGCCAGCCTTGCTTCGCCACCCTCTTCGCCACCGGCCTCACGGGCGAAGGTCGCCGCGCCGACCGCCAAATCCTCCTCATCCTCCTCCCTCTCATCCCCATCCACACTGCTGCCGCCGGGCTGGGGCTGGTCGCAGACGGACGACCAGACGGAGATCCAGCCCTCGGCTCTGCTGCGTCGTCGCTCGCCAACTCAAGGTCAGGTTCCTCTCCTCCCCCACCGCGGCTGGGTCTCCATGTATGATCACCGCCGCCGCCGTCGCGTGGTCCGTTCGCGTACTCGCTAGCTGCAGCTTGCTTCCTGGGGTTAGGTTTTTTTTAGATGGATTTGATGCGCTGCTAAATGTATGCGGTTTGTATTGATGAAGTTAGTCTTATTGATGAAGTGCAGTTTGTATTGATGAAGTGCAGTTCTTATTGCTTTGCTTGTATGCAGTATTAGTCTGTACTCTGTTACTCCTGTTAGTGAAATTGCTAGTGTATGCAGTTCGTATTGATGAAGTTAGTCTTATTGATGAAGTGCAGTTCTTGTTGCTTTGCTTGTATGCAGTAGAGAGTAGATGGCGTCTCCAAATATGAGCAGTGCTAGTGTAGGATCTACAGCCACAAACACAACTGACATCAAGGCTCCACTTTGGGATCATGTAACTGTTAGAGAATGACCAACCGGCTCTATTGCAAGGCCCAAGAGGGCAAGTATACACAATGTACATATGCAAAGAAGCCCTCCAAGTAGAGGGAAAACACATACACATCCTATACATCTAACACCCCCCTCAAACTCATGGTGGATCTACAACACTGAGTTTGGAGAGTAGGAATCTATGATGAGCCCAGGTCTGTGCCTTGGTGAAGAAATCAGCTAACTGAACCTCTGAAGGCACATGGTGGAGCGTCACAACCAGATCATGCACCTACGATCTCATGTAGGAAGCATCAATGCCAATGTGTTTAGTGAGCTCATGCTTGACTGGGTCTCGAGCAATACTGATCGCACCGGTGCTGTCAGAAGAGAGAGGAGTGGGTGCAGTGGCTGGCACACCAAAATCCTCAAGAAGCCATCGTAGCCATGTCACCTCCGCAGTAACAGTCGTCATAGCACACAGCTCAGCCTCAGCACTCGAGCGGGGAACTGCAGTCTGCTTCTTGGTTTTCCAGGCAATCAAGGAGGAGTCAAAGAAAACACAATAGGCAGAGAGAGAGTAGCGATCATAGTGATCACTCGCCTGTGTCGCATCGTAATCACGCTGGTCAAGAGAACTAGAACGAGGGAAGAAAAGGCGCCAAGAGATAGTTCCACGAAGGTATCGCAGAACATGAAGGAGGTGAGCATAGTGGAGCTGGGTAGGAGCTGAGACAAACTGACTCAAGATATGCACAGAGTGAGAAATGTCAGGATGAGTGATCCCAAGGTAGACAAGACTCCCAACAAGCTGATGATAGCGAGTAGGATCAGCAAGTGGTACACCATCAGTGGGTCGTAGGTGAACACCAAGCTCCAAAGGAGTATCCACAGTGCGATGATCAGTGAGAGCAGCACGGGAAAGGAGGTCCTGAGTGTACTTCTCCTGAGAGAGAAAGATACCATCAGATGTGGAGGTGACCTCAAGACCAAGGAAGTAACGAAGGGGACCCAAATCCGACATAAGGAATGTCTCACTGAGACGCTGCTTCACAAAATCAATGTACTGGGAATCATCGCCCGTGATGATCATGTCATCGACATAGAGAAGAAGGGTGCGACCACGAGGGGAAATGTGAACAAAAAGAGCAGGATCGTGATCACTTGGCATAAAACCAGCATCGATGACAACAGAGGAGAAACGCTCAAACTAGGTCCGAGGAGCTTGCTTGAGGCCATAGAGAGAACGGCGCAACCGACAAACCAGGCCATCAGGAACAGAGTATCCTGGAGGTGGCTACATATAGACTTCCGCTCGCAGCTCGCCATTGAGGAAGGCGTTCTTGACATCCAACTGGGATATCGACCAGCAGCGACGCGAAGCAAAATCGCAAGAAGAGTGCGAACAGTGAGTCATGTGCGCGTGAGAGGCGAAGGAAGAGTCTCCTCATAGTCACGACCTTGCTCTGTTGGAAGCCGCACGCATACAAGAGCGAGCCTTGTAGCGCTCAAGAGAGCTATCCGGCGGGTCTTTACCTTGTACACCCACTTGCAAGTGATAGGAGTGACGTGAGGTGGCAAAGGAACAAGATCCCAGGTGCCAGTACGTTCTAGGGCAGCAATCTCCTCAGCCATAGCATGTTGCCACTCCTGGTGAACGGTAGCTTCTCGATAGGTCATGGGCTCAGCCAAGACTACAGCAGTGAAGCCAAGGCGATTGGGAGGACGAAGGGTGCTGCGGTCACGAAGAGAATAACGAGGAGGAAACTTCGGGATGAGGTCCAAGGGCCAGACGGAGAAGAGTCAAGTGGTGGCGCGCAGGCGCGACGACGAGTGTAGTAGTGAGTGATCTCACGGGAAGGACGCATAGCGATGATGGTGGAGGAGAGACTGGTGGTGGAGAGGTAGGAGGTGGTGAAGGTGGAGAAGTAGGTGGTGGTGGTGGTGGGCGGAGTAAAAGATACCGAGGTGGTGAAGAGGATGGAGGCGACAAATGGAAGATACCACTCGGGTAAAGTGAGGAATGAGAGGGACTCGGTGGTACCACAAGAACCGGAAGGGGAGCGAGGGATAGTAAGGCCGGGACTCATCGAAGGTGACATCCCGAGAAATCCTCATCCGACGAGCAAACAGGGTCATAGCAGCGATAACCCTTATGTTTACGTCAGATGCCCAAAAAACACACTCAACAGACTGAGCAGTGAGTTTGGTGTGCTCACGAGGTGGAAGTAGGACGTAACAGACATACCGAAAACAACGAAGATGGCTATATAGGAAGGAGGGGTGCCGAAAAGACGCTCATAGGGAGTGCAACCCCGAAGACAAGTAGAGGGTTGGCGATTTATAAGAAAAATAGTTGTAGAAACCGCCTCATTAAAAAGCGAGGAGCAAGCATAGAATGTATCAAGAGAGCACGAAGCGGTCTCAAGAGTGTGGCGATGCTTGCGCTCAAGAACACCATTTTGAGCATGAGCACCGGGACATGAAAATCGGGCAAGAGTACCTGCTTCAATAAGGTAGAAAGCGATGAAGCGGTGGAGATGTCCTCACCAATGAGAATCCATACGAAAAACTTCGAATGAGAGAGTTGAACTGATACGGATCATGGTGGCAAATTGCTTGTAAATAGAAAGAAATTGACCACGAGAAGGCATCAAATAAATTCAGGTAAATCTCAAATAGTCATCAATGAAAATAACATAATATGATTGACCCCCCTTTGAAACAAAATGTGCAGGACCCCATACATCAGAGTGAACAAGATCAAAAGGTTTCTGAGACTTAGACTCACTAGATGGGTAGGGGAGTTGCAACTGTTTGCCAAGTTTATAACCCATACAATGAAGAGTAGTGTCACCAGAAACAGGACCTAACACACCACTACCAACAAGAGTGGACAATCTAGAACCAGAGAGGTGGCCAAGACGACGATGCCACTGCGCAAAAGAAGTGGTAGACGAAGCAGCTGACACGGATGCTGGAGAACTGGGTGATGTGGGGGCCAAAACGGGTGAAGGAAGACGCAACCAATCAAGCTCCCAGAGGCATTGGGAGTCCCGACACCTAGGCCCAGTTCCCACCAAAAGGCCCGTACGGAGATCCTAAACACAACAAGAATCAGACTAAAGGATTATGCGACAGCCATTATCAGTGATTTGACCCGCAGACAAGAGTTGCATAGTGAGTTTGGGAACATGCGAAACAGTAGGAACATTAAACGAAGAGGTCGAAAGAACACCTCTCCCAACAACAGGAAGAGAAGTGCCATCTGCGGTGCGAACAGAAATAGGTGGATCAGGGAAAGATAGAGAGGACAAGTGTGTTGCATGAGGTGTCATATGAAAAGAGGCACCAGAGTCGAGGAACCATGGGACGGAGGAGGAGCGGAACTAGAAGCCTGAGCTGTAGTCCCGTGACCAGAGGCCTGAGCTGCAGTAGTGAGGCGACGAAACAGGGCAAGAACCTCCTGCTCCGCTGCAGACACGGAACGAGTGCTCTGTGAAGTAGAGGAACCACCAGAGCCCTGAAAAGAGCGTCTGCCACGACGCCCTGATCGGTCGCGCTGCTTCTTGCGACAATCCTTCTCATGGCCATAGAGCTTGCAGTAGCCACACTGAACACCAGAAGGTGCCCCCGTCACCACAGGAGAGGGCTGAGACGGAGGCGGGGAGACCTGGGGAGGTGTGGCTGCTAGGACGGAGGGCTTCGGCGGAACACGAGTCACACCCCCAGCTCGAAGACATGTCTCCTCAGCTCGTAACTCAGGCATCGCCTCTGAGAGCGATGGGCGTGGACAACGAGTCAGCAACTACGCTCGAACAGTCTCGAACTCGGGACAAAGCCGAGAGAGAAACTCGTGAAGGCAAACAATGTCTCTCTGGTCCTGGTGACGATCACAGCACCGGCAAGTACCACCACCGCAAAACTCAGCGCCCAAACTGTCCAGGCGATGCCAGACAGTTGTCATCGGACGGTGGAAGTCCTCAACTGTGGAGTCAAGCTGACGAAGTGACTGAGCCTCCTCAACAACAGCAAGGTACATCGCTTCGTTATGAATCTCGTAACTACGACGGAGGTGATCCCACATAAGGTGTGAAGTGGCAAGACCTCTAAGGGATAACGAGAGATCGACCTCCATGCTGGCAAGTAAGATAGCCTTAGTAGATTTTTCCTCGCGTAGCCAAGTCTCATAGACACCAAGATCAGACTGGTAGCTCTCCATCTCAGCCTCAAATGCCTCAAGTAAAGCATTCTTGGCATCATCATCAGCATCTGGCGGGTATGTGGGCGGCGTGGGAAGAAGAGGACGGGGAGGACAGATCCGCTCACATGTGAGGTAGCCCCACAGCAGCTGCCCATCCATGTGGACCTCCATATGGAAAACAAAATCGCCCCAATTGGTGCCATTGAAAATGACGGGGCACCGAGGAACCAGAACATGGCCAGGGCGTCCGGGGGACGCCATGGAGGAGAGAACGAGTTTTTTTAAGCAGAGAGGAGAGGAGGACCGGCCGTCTCAGTAGCACGAGACCGACACACGGGCGCGAGTGAGAGGCTAGCTATACAGGCGTGGACGAAGGGAGCCGCGAGGCCGCAAGGGGCGCGCGGGAGGGAGGCGTCCGGCGCGCAGGACCGCTCGGGAGGGTAGCGGGCGCAGAGGGAGGTGCGGTGGCACGGGAGGGCAGCACGTTGGCGCGTAGGGCCGCTTGTGCGGCGCCAGGCGGGCCTCGCTGTGATAAGCGTCTGGCGAAGCGTGTCTTGATGGCGGCGGGAGGGCGTCGCTGGTGGCATGCAGGAAGGCCGCGCGAATGGGGCAACGGCCAGCCTTGTGTGAGTGGTCGGCAGAGCCGACACGCGTGGGCGCATAAGCGTCTGGCGTGTGAGTTCGCGATGGTCATTGCAGCGCGTGGGATTGGTCTGAGGTAAGGAAACCTAGCTCTTTGATACCATGTTAGAGAATGACCAACCGGCTCTATTGCAAGGCCCAAGAGGGCAAGTATACACAATGTACATATGCAAAGAAGCCCTCCAAGTAGAGGGAAAACACATACACATCCTATATATCTAACAGTAACCATTCTGGAGAAGCCTAGAACTGGTGGAGGAAATGCTATGTAGCGCCAGAAATCTTGTCCAATGCAAAAAGCGAGTAGTTACACTAGAGTTGAAGCTCATTTGCTTGCGAGAAGGAGAAAAGGAATAGGTAAATGTCCTAATGTTACATATGAAATGCTTAGTGAAATGAGGAAGGAAATTGAAAGGTGCAAGAATCAGGTGGAAAGATCCAAGCCCAACTGTTTCTTTGCCTATTGCTCCTTCCTCAAGCAATCTGCTTGACAACAAGAGGAACAAGAGGGGCTGTTTACGCATTGGAAAAAGCTTGGGCATTGGAAGACCGTAAGCACTTGGATGCTTTAATTAGTAGAGCAATTTATTACGGAGGGGTATCTTTTAATTTTCGAGAAATCCATATCTTCTTGAAGCCTTTACCTTTGCTTGCAGTACCGCAACATGCAAGGTTATGTGATTCCCGTTACAACAGAGTTAGGGGGCTTCAAGCAAGAAATGAGGCACATAGAGACTTTGTTGGAGAGCACAAAGAGCACATGGGCGGAGAGAAGGGAGTCACAATCAGCTCGATGGTTGGTCAAACCCTCAGAGGCGACCAATCATCAATTTTGTTCTTTGTTTCGACAAGGCACCTATGTTCTTGAGGGTGATAATTGTGAAGGTCGATTACAAATCAAAAGAATGCATTCTTTGAGAAGTTGAAGGGTATAATTGAAGAAGTAGGTAGACATAATGTAGTACAAATCATTACGACAATCTTGCAAATTGCAAAGGTGCTGGTCTCATAATAGAATCTGAGTATGATAACATATTTTGGACACCATGTGTTGTGCATACCCTCAATCTTATTGACTGAAAAAGTATCGTGAACCTAAAATAGGAAACAACCCCTCGATGAAGAACTATTTGCTTGGGGAACTTGAATTTATGTATGATGTTAAAACTGAGGCTGCTATGATAAAGAATTTCATAATGAATCATGGCATGCGACTTTCAATGTTCAATGAGTTCACCCTTTGAAGTTACTTTCTATTGTTTGAAACAAGATTTGCCTCTGTTATTTGTATGTTGAAGCGGTTTGTTGAGGTAAAACAGCCCTCCAACAAATGGTGATTAGTGACAAATGGAGTGTGTCAGAGAAGTCGAGAGATGATTCTCCAACTCCAACATTAAAAATTGTCAAGGACTTGATACTTAGTGATGTATGGTGGGACAAGGTGGACTACATTCTTAAGATTACTACTCCTATTTATGAAATGATTCAGTATGCAGAACACCGACACACCATGTCTTCACTTAGTTTATGAGATGTGGGATTCAATGATAGAGAAAGTGAAGAAAGTCATATATCGATATGAGGGCAAGCAAGAAGATGAGGAGTCAAGTCTGCAGTACTCGGTTATTTATGACATATTGATTGCTAGGTGGACAAAAGGAAATAATCCACTTCATTGTTTAGCTCATTCACTTAATCTAAGGTACAAATTGCCATTACGATTTTTTCATTGACTTGAATGGTCAGTACATATTTTTTTCATTCACTAAAATCATCATTGCCAATTGCAGATATTATAGCAAAAAGTGGATTAAAGAAGGTCCTGGCCGTGAACCACCCCACAAGGATAAAGAGGTATAAAAAATGAGGATGGTTTGCTTCAAGAAGTTCTTTCCCATGCCAGAAGAATTGGCTAAAGTAAAAGAAGAGTACTTAAGGTTCTCTAATTGTTCAGAAGAATTTAATGATCTTGACTCAATCCATGATAGATGGGTTGTTTCCCCTATGACTTGGTGAACAAATCATGGACAATCTACTCCCTTATTGATGAGTTTGGCCATGAAATTACTTAGCCAGCCAGCCTCATCTTCTTGCTGTGAAAGAAACTGGAGCATCTATAGCTTTGTCCATAGTGTCAAGAGAAATGCCTTAACTCTAGAGCGTGCTGAAAATTTGGTCTTTGTGCACTCAAATCTGAGGCATCTGTCAAGAAGAACTGATGCATACAAAACAGGAGAGACAAGGATGTGGGATGTAGGAGGGGATTCTTTTGATGCACTTGGTGGTGTTGGCATTCTTGAAGTGGCTGATCTGTTCCTTGATGAACCTGAACTGCAAGCTGTGTCTTATGGTCTGGATGAGCTGCCGGTTGATATTGTGGATGACAATGAAACAATTGAGGAATAGGAACTTGCTGCTGCATGAATTGCAAGCCTGAATGCCTTCTATTAATTTTCTAAATTTGAGACTACTATATTTGAGAGTTGATGAGATTGCAGACCTTCTGTACTGTAATAATAGTACTCTTAGAGTCTTAAGTGGTTAATTGCAATGTTTTATTGTTATCACTTATCAGTTTTAAATAGCAGTTACAATACACCTTTGTCCTCTCCTCTCCTCATCTCCTGTCTACTCCAGAGTTCAGACTCCAGTACACTAGTAGTACAAGGTGATGTACTGAACTACTACTGATTACTGAATACTCAAGTAGTCAAGTTTTAGTAATAAATTGATTGATAGTTGGTTACTTGGTTTTTCTGTGCAAATTCTGGACTTAGAGTCTTGGAGAACTCGAGAATAGACAATCGAAGATTTGAAGAATGGAGATGCTTCCAGAGTTCCGGTCTTTGCTTTGGCTGGTACTTGCTATTGCAAGGTAATTTACTACTTTCACTCTTTCACAATTTTAATATGCGCTATTATCTATATTTATTAAAAAACAGTAAAACATATCCGCGTATCGGGTTTCTTAGGAAATTGCCGTATCCGCGTATCCGTATCCTTCCGATACCGATACGCGTATCCGTATCCGTGCAACTTAGGTAGAGGCAATAAAAGGAGACTTGAAATGATGGAATATACCCAAAAACTTAGCCTTAGATAGGAGTGCTTGGAAGACAGCTATTCACATGTCTGAACCTTGATTGCTTCTGCTGGGTTTCAACTCTAGCCTACGCCAACTTATTTGGAATTTAAAGGCTTTGTTGTTGTTGTATTGATAATCATTATTCCTGCAGCTGGACTAACACAAATAACTGAACCAAAAGGAAGGAGAAAGGAGCTAACTACCTCTAGTTGCTGGCAGATATTATCCATATCCACTGTGCAGACACCTTTGCACTTTATCTTGCAAACTCTTTTCCTCTTCCAATGTGAATGAATGTTCTCCAACATATTATGTGTCAAACCATCCCTACCTGCAGAGGTCAAAAGGAGACTATAAATTACAGCAGGCAGAACTCCAAGTGTCACCAATTAATGATTCATCAACAGCCCGCAGCAAGCCAACATGTACCAACAATCCACATTTTAATCCAGCGACACAGTTGAATCCACAGCAAGAGAGGGAACCCACCCATATTGAGTTGCCGTTTGGACTTGAGGCTCCCTTTCACGAGTTCGGAGACCTCTTCCTTGGTGAGGGGCTCTCCGACTATGTCCTCCCTGGACACCGATTGGTACCTCGGCTCCATACCGGAGAGGAACGGCCCCGGTGACTGCACGGGCTTCACCCCCTTCTTGCCCGGTGGTGGCAGCACGAACGAGTCAAACTCCGGAAGCTCCTTGCGGCTCTTTGGCAGTGGCTTCCTTCCCGTTCACGGGCGTGGCGTGGCCTCGGGCCCGAACGGCAGGAACGGTGCCTCACGGAGCGCTACGGGCCGTGCGCGTGGGGCCTCAGTGTAGCTATACTGAAACTCGAATGGCGCGCCATCGAGGCGGTAAGAGAGGCCACGATCGGTGACGCGGACTCCGGCGGCGGGCTCATCGGTGTCCGCGATGGGAATCTTCTTGGCACGACCCTGCGCCGCTGCGCGGCTGCAGAGAAGGCCGGATGCGAAGTGACGTCGTGTCGGTGGCGCTTGGGGCCGGTGGGAGGTTGCTTGTGGTGGGAGAGGCAGATGCGGAGGGAGGCCGGAAGGCGTGGATGGGATTGCTGAGCTGGGGCCAGGAGGGAGCGAGAGGGCAAGGGGGCAGTCGCCATGGATGTTTGAGTGCAAGGGGATGGCAGACAGAGGTGATCAGCTTGCTGCCTGTTCGTTTGCCGTGCCTTGTCGTAAGCGGTCGTAAATTTCTAGCCAGAACAGTATTTTTCTTTCACATAAATCAGGTAGCAGTACTTCTTCACGAACCAGCAACGAAACGAAGGCTGTTGAGCTCTATCAGCTTCCGTTTCGACGCCGGGATAAGGGTACGTACAACGCGTCTTCTGATGCCGTCTCCAGTGCGTGAATTTTGCGAAAACAACCCCGGTCTCACGAGTCGACGCTCTCCTCGTCGCCTCACGAGTCGACGGCGAGGGCGCGTGCTCCAAGACGCTCTCAACCACTGGAGACGCGTTGTACGGGAGGGGCTCCTCGAGTCGACGAGCCCACGGATCCGGTGCGGGCACGTCCGCAGAGGAAGTTGAGGGCGCGCGCAAGAAGGATTCTACGCGCCAAATCTACCCTTCTCTTCACCAGCTTTTGGGGCGGAAGAGCCCAGGTATGGCATTGGGGCGACGTCGGTCTTGCAGCGGAAGAGCCCGGGCACGTCGGCGGCGGGAGCGGCTGCGTTGGGTGCGGTGGGAGCAACATGACCTGTACGCGATCGACTTCACTGGGGAGGAGCAGGTATGGGGCGTATGGCTTATGCACCTTGTTGTTTAATTATTGTATTAGAATGCTTAGATGCAGTACGGCGAAGATGCAAATTGCATCATATCTGCATTATTGTTAATTATTACTATTTGGTTGTTCAGCGAGATTATATGCAGTACTACTTGGATACCTCGTTCAGCAGGGTGCTATCAATTCTGAAATCGGAAGAGCTACCTGCTCAAAATACAAAGTAGAGAGTTGTATAAGAAGCTGGATGTTCAGATTACAATCAGATTTAAAGTGGTTGCATAGGGTATCTGTTGATGTGCTATTTGCCTTGGCGTTCAGACTACAATCAGATTTAAAGTGGTTGCATAGGGTATCTGTTGATGTGCTATTTGCCTTGGCTTTCTGAACCATTCAGATTTATTGTGAGAGAATTGTTTTGATGACTGAATGTTGCAATGTAGACATGAAGCACGAATGCTGCTAGTGAATAGACTCTCAAGGGCTCAGATCAAGTCTTCTGAACCGTCAGCAATGTAATGTTTTCCTTTTTTCAGTTATCCTGTTTTCAGTTCTGAATTTTAGACTCTCGAAAGCAGCCCTGTTCTTTGGTTTGGAATTGGAAGGTGTCTTCCTGTTTTCAGATATATATCTTCCTGTTATCTACTAGTTATCTGAATGTTATCTACTAGTTACCTGAATGCTTCCAGTTAAATTTCTGCCCAGTTAAAGGAAATTAGACAAAAGACATCGCAACTATATATAACATAATTATTATATTGATGGTTTGTAAAAAATATTGTAATCATATTGCTCTTATTTATCCTTGATATATTTTTTATCAAATAGCCACACAATGGTGTACAAAAAATTATTTATAGTTGATCCTAACTACATGCAAAGCATTAAATAGATTAGAAACGGGCTCTCGTCTATGGGTTGTATGGCCTATCTTTATACCTTTGTGTATGATAGATTCGAGGCGTTTAGAGACGGACCCCGTGGGTTATACATGCCTAAGGTGGTTCACAGCTCGACGGGATGGACTATTTACTGCTGCTCCATTATACAAATTATAAATTACTTCCTCCATTCTAATTTATATATCATTTACTATTTCAAATTATAAGTCATTCTAACCCTTTTTTAGAGAAAAAAAAACTTCTCAAATTTGACTAAAATTATTTTAAAAATCACAAAGATTTGTGATCAAATATATTATACTATAAAAATATAGTTAATAAAGAATCTAATGATACTTATTTAGTATCATAAATATTATTGTTTATTATATAAATTTAGTTAAACTTGGCATGTCTTGACTCTCAAAAAAGTTAAAATAACTTATAATTTAGGACGAATAGAGTAACTTTTTTTTTAAGAACGAAGGGAGTAACTTTTATTAACTTCTATTACGTATCTATATATATTTTATATCTAGATGCATAGCAAAACTATATATCTAGAAAAATCAATAATTTAGAATAAACAGTGGTATAGATATTTTGGCTTTTCCAAATATATAAACATAATATATATTTAAATATATATATAGTAGACTTCTTATAATTTAAAATAGAGAGAGTATATTTCTTAAGTTCAAATTAAAAGAATTATCTATTGGATATACAAATACAAAAAATGAATAATTCAAATACATTTTTTATTTTAAAGATAACAAATATCTATTTGCTTTATTGATTGTTTTATTAGAAACAAAATCATTATTTATATGTAGGAATTTGAAATATGAGTATATAACACATGTATGTACCTCAGTTGATCGAACAACCTATTAAAATTTTTATAAGGTATAGCACTACAGAAACTTGTTAGATAATTAGGTGGGCTTAGTAAGCATTAAGTCTAGTCTAATAAGAGCACCTCTACGCAATTTTAATAGCAGAGCTAGCAATTAGCAAGCCAAACAAGCAAGCTTCTACCCAATTCTAGAGAAAGCATATAACAGTTACACACTAGAACAAGCAATCTTTCTCAGTTAAGCTACACAACTAATCGAGCTACACAAGGCAAGCAAACAAGCTAGAGAGCTACACAACTACATAAGCTAGGATTGCACAAAGTAAAAGGCGCAAGTGTAGTGATGCAAAACAAGGGAGACAAATTGACATTTGTGATATTTGTCCTGATGTTCAATTGCTCATCGACAACCTACTCCTCGTTAAGATAAGTCCAATGATTGATGCTCCTTCACAAGTTAAACAAGCCCTAAGCTTAGCCTCAACGTGGGGCTCATCTATGAGTCGGTCGATCAATTCAACAAGCCTTGGTTCCAATAGAGTTCTTCTTCACGAACTCCCGCAGGGATGAGCACAAGTGCCCATAATAAATATTCTCGATCTAAGCCCCCATAATTAGGGCAGTCCCAACTGTGGAAACCACACGTCAGCAAAAATCATGTATAAAAACTACCTTATACAGTGCTAGAGTCTTCGCGTTCTCTACTCTCCCAACCACACAGATGCACAGGGTCTGCAGAATGCACGCAGGTGGGCTAGCGACATGCGAGAGAGCGCATTCGGCCTGACACGAGTCTTGCTGCCAGCGGCGGCCAGCGAAAGCAGAGACCAGACCAGCCTGCCA